TTGCTGGGACTGGCCACACAGAATCCGTACCTTTTGAAGGTCCTTGGTAGACGTTGACGACGTTGGTAGACGACTAGTAGTGGCTTCAGCTAGCTGAGCTCGTAGGACTAAGCGACGCGGAATGGTTTGACTGCGCTGGTGCCATGGTCGAGCAATGTCGAGCAACTACCCCTTAGAAGTAAAACTTTCACAAGATGTTACAACGTGTCACAAGGTGTTAATTCGCAAGTGTGAAAGTCGAATGTCGAAACATGAAGCTTTGACCTGGAAGTGATGTATATATATATAATTACACGTTTCCAACCAATGTCTTCTTTTTTCTCCGATTCATAACATCAATGATCTCTAATTGCTACAAATCATGCCGACCATTGACCGGCGACACGCTGGGGGAGCTCTAAGAGCTCTGCCAGTTTCGTGCAGAGTTTCACCATGGTCTCAAAAAACAGCTGGTCACCTTTCGATAGGCCTTGCTTGGTGGACCACTCAACCATTGGACACAGGTTACCAGAGGAATAACGGGAACTCTCAAAGAAATGGTGAAAAACAGCTTTGAACCTTTCCTGGCCTATTCTTCCACAACACTTTTAACGACAACTTCGGACTGTCACAGACCAATCTGCAGCATTGATGTGGATTGATGATATGACGGGTTGAAAGAACGGCCGAAGCGTTTCCTGCTTTCACCAGTAAAGTGTGGCTGGGAATCAATCTGAAATTCGCCAGCACATGTACTCTTCGATACAGGCTTTTAGAAGTTTGAGGCGACTGCACGAAGATGATCTGGCAACAAAACGAGAGCTAATTAACCCTTCTTTTCATTTCTTTTCCAGGTAACTTCAATTGAACAGTCAGACCACCCAGGACGCCTCAAACACCTAAGCTTTTTCAAGGATGACGGATAGATGGTCCTCGCTTGCCATGTCCCCATGGCCGGCCATCAGGCAAGCTACAGGAAGTTCAAGTTGGCTTGGAATCTTTGGTAGTGCACTGTCCATCGGAGTCCATCCAGTTCTTTTTCTCCGCTTTCCAAAATCTGCACGTACAGCATAGCTCCGAGGCTTGCGGGTAGCCCGATCCATGGCTGAGGCCGGGATCCAGTGCTGGAGTGGAGCTTGTTGCCTGTTGCAATCTGGTGCTGTTCAGAGGTGGATGAAGGTCCCAGTGAATGGGAGACCTTCCGGGAGGAGCGGTTGGGCTGGAGAAAAAGTAGTAGATGGTCTCCATTTTCAAAACCGATTCACATTCATCACCATATATCATATCTCCATTCTATCCCTCTTATATAATCCCCCCCATTAACCCATACATAGGGTAATTGATCCCTTACCATACCTGGGTCTTTCAGGAGGATGCAGATCTCCAGAGCGCCCGCGTGGCCTTGGAAACTTTGAAGCCGGTGCTGGAAGCCTCAGCCACAGCGGCTGCCGGTGCGGCACTGGCCGCGAGCCTGGAAGAACTGCTGGATGAAGGTGAAACTCTGTTGCAGGACGGGGAAGGTGCTGAAATGGTGGGATAATCCATGGAACTTCCTGTGTTCCCTTTGTTTCCCTTTTAAGAATTTGAAGATCCTGACCGAGATGGTGGCTCTGGAAGATCCCTGTTGGGATCGCAGGAGTTTCGAGGCGGCAATGAGCAGCTCTTGGAAAGGCTTTGTACGACAGAGAGCGTGCGATCCTTGGCTCGATCCTCAGACAGGATGACCCACACCTGGTTGCTTTTCTGCCCCAAATCATGACAGGAACATGTTCAACTTCCATTTCAAACCATTTCTGAGGTGCAGCATGCCACGCGACCGCCCTGTGAAGGTTGGACTTCGGGCACCTTGGAGGTGTTGCTCCATCTGTTTTTTTTGATGTTTTTTGGTGGGCAGGTGTACCTCCCGAGCGTTTACGGCATCGAAGTCACACGGTAAGGGCCCCAGGGCCCCCAGGGCCTCGAAGAGTCGGTGTCCGATGGACGGTCCCCTCATGGGTCGCTCAGGCAGCTGAGCTGCTAGCCATGTGCGGGCAGGGCTCTGCCAAGGCACCTGGAACATCCTGAAAAATGAAAACAATATGCTAAGCTGGGTGGGCAAGTTTTGTTGGACCATGCCATTTGGATTTTACTCTTTTTTTTTTGTATTGGTGTCTTTTTGTAGGAAGTAATCCCAATAATATATGGTTTGTTGAAGTTTGTTGCTTACTGCCGCCTGGATGCTGCGAGGTGGGGAGTGAAGGTATCTGTAAAAGAAGCGTCAGTTGTGGCCATGGAACTTTTTATCTGCAGCATGCATGAGAAACGGAAGATGTTTAACAGTGTTGATTTTGTTCAAATGGTGTCCTTTCGGTGATAAGCTGCAGCCTGGTGCATCTTCCCAATTCTTCCCAGCTCAAATACAGTATAGATGTGAACCATGGCGTGAATCAACGCCCCAATTCTCGCTTGTTGCGCCTTGTCCCATGACGCGGGCCAATGGCTCCAATGGTTCCAGCTCCACAGCCCTGTTGAGGCAGATTCTCCATTTTGTGATTCCCATCACTGCAGCCTATGCCCTGGAAGGAGTCGCTACCCTGGTCCCGATCTGGGCTGCGGCTCATGGCGGGAGTCCCGATGAGACCGAAGCCACCTTTCGGGTGGGCGCTGTTGGCTTGGGAAATACCGTGGTGATTTGTATCGCCCTGGTGGTGAAATCTGGCTGGGCTGGGGCTCAAGATACCTTGGTCTCACAGGCTTACGGCATGAAAGATTTTCGAAAGGCCAGAGATCATTTGAACTGTTGTCAAATTTGGATGTGTTTCCTGGCTGCGATTTGTTCAGTGCTCCTCCTTTCCACTGAACGGATCCTGATTTCGACGCGCTGTGCTACTGAGCAGCTGGCGGCCGAGACGTTCAGATATGTTCTGGGCTGTATTCCAGGGGTTTGGCTCGAGTTTCAGTACGACGCCCTAAGGAAATTCCTGATGAATCAGCAGATCCCATCCCCAGGGCTGTGGGTCTTATGTGCTGCCGTGCCTGCTCATTGGGCCATGTGCGTCTTGCTGCTGGAATGTGGCTTATCCATTGATCCTCTGGTGGCCATTGGTATTGCCTTCTCTGTTAGGTCCGCTGTGTCATTTTTTCTGCTGGCGGGATACATGACGCTGTTCCAGCCCACACCCAGTTGTATCGGCTGGTGGCGCATCTGGGAATCTCGGGAGGCCTTGAGTTGGAAGGGACTCAAGTCGTACTCTCGGATTGCAATACCGTCCGTTGCCATGTATGGCTTTGACTGGTGGGCCTACGAGCTGCTCACTTTATTGGCGGGTGAGCAGTTGCCAAATTATGCCAAATCCCATAATTCCAACCTGAAGCAATCATTCTTGCTTGATGATATCCCATCGCTATTTGCCAAACCCAATAAATATTCATCCATAAGTTCCCGATTCCCTATGCCACAGTTGTTGGACTATATATGCGAATCCTCATTTGAAGGGGAAATGATTGCTCAAATGATGCTAGCCCACTGGATTTCACGATTTGTTTGGGACAGTCCCACATAGCTGGGGTCCCATGCAAAACCGAGTAAAACAACCATTTAAGTTAAGCATCGAACTCATATAACCATAGGGTTTTAGGGAAGCATGTGCACATTTTTTCATGCTTTTCCCCATTTGTAAGGTAAAATCCATCATTTCCCAAATTTTCCCCATGATTTTCCATCCTTTTTTGGGATTAGGCCCAGTTTTCCTTAGAGGTGGCTTGAGGAGCGAAACCCAACTGGCCGCCCATGTGGCCGCCACCACCGCCTCCGACTGGGCCTTCCTGGTGGTGCGCGGGGCACCCAAGGCGGCGACGGCGCTGGTGGGGGCCGCCATGGGGCAGAAGGATATCTTCCGAGTGCATCAGGTCGGGGGCTGAAATCCCTGAAAGTATAAGGTTTTGTCAGATTTTATTCCCTTTGAAACAGTTATAGAATTTATAAAACATGGTGAAACTTGATGTCTCGGTTATCATTTTCGCAAAACATGTTGTTTATTCATGATTTTCTCTATCAATGGTGGGGTCTGTTGCTCATTGTGCTGCATTGTGGGGCTGGCCATTTGTTAATAAAAGCAAACCGGCCAATTTAGACACACTCGTGATGCATTGTGCGGTTCATGAAAACTTGCCCAAAAGAGAGGGATGTGGCAAAGCTTGTGATGCAAAGCACAGTCCATTTACCCCAGTTCTCCCTCAAACCAGGCCTTTGCATTACTGGGTTTAGTCCCCCAGACATCCAATTTTCGAGTCATAGATTTGGTTTTGGAAAAATCCATGTCTTTTCGAAGCTTCGAAGCTTTCGAAGCAACTCAGGTGGTGAGGGCGTGTCTCAGGCTCACCTGCGCGATGTGTGGCGGTTTGGTGATTTTCTGTTGGTTTGGCCGGGCCAAGCTGACCCATCTGCTGCTGCCTGATGAGCCGGTGACGCAGGCGATTTTTGCCAAGTTGCTAATATGTGGCTGGGCCTCCTCGACGAAGAGAATCAAATGGACCCCCCACCATTTTGAAGGGTAGAAACATGTAGAAACCAGAGTTTCCTGCAAATCTTTGTGGTATTTCGCTTTAACCAAGCCAATGGTTGAATTTCTAAAGGTGAGCAGTGGTGAGCAGTGGCCAAAGCTCAAAAAACGATGGCCTGTTTGTACCTCCAAAAAAACTCAGGCAAGTTTTGGGAAGTGCCCATGTACTGTTCATGTACTGAGGTGTATTGCTTCAACTTTTGGTGGATGGCTTAAACAGCTGCTACAGCGGCGTCTTCGCGGGGCTCGGACGGCAGGGTGCTGTGTCGGTGGGGTTGTTCACCTTCCAGTGGGTGGCGCAACTGCCTGGTGCTTTTATTTTGGGCCACTGCATTGGAGCTTTTGGAGCTTTACTAAGCTTTACATTAAGGGATTTCTTTTCCCTTATCATCCTTATCCCTTTCTACGGTACTTTTACATTTTTTGGGAATGTCTTAGCATATAATATGGTTATATATATATATGGTTATACATACATATATATATATTTATATATACATACATATATACATACACACACACACACATATATATATATATATACATATGTAGATAGGTTTAGCCTGCACCGAACTTTTCGCAGTGGACACAAGGCTACCACTTTGAGATGGGAGCCCTGGGTCTTCATTTAGCCTCGATGATTGCCTCGGTGCTGAACTGCGGCTACAACTACATGTTGATGAAACGGAGTTTGAAGGCCTTGGGACCTGAAATCAACATGAAGGACTATGAGAGATTGAGCCGAAGTACTTCATGACATGAGGGCTGGACTTTCAGCTGGACTTGAAATGGCTTGAAGGTGTAGTCCCAACGCTGTTGGCTCTCGATTTACTTTGGATCACCGCAGTGATGGTCCCATCGATCCATCAAATCCTAAACCTCGAACTCAGCGCAGAAAGCATGCAGCTGAAAAAGGGGCTGATGCCGGTGATGTAGGGTCAGTGTCGATGCTGTGTTTGAGACAAGATGCTGCCGCTCATCAGCTGCTGCCAACAACCCCTGTTCTATGTATTTTTTGTTATAGGGGTCTCCATTTGGCTCCCAGTTCTTTCCTTCGCATCTTGAGTCCTGGACGTATCCAGTACCAGCAACCAGTGGAACCCCTCCAGGACGACCAATGGAAACTTCGCCTTGTTGAGCTCTTTTTTGTGCCTCGGCGAAAGGATGGATATGGATGGATATGGATGGCATGGATGGCATGGATGGCATGGATGGCATGGATTTGGGTCAGCTTGCTTCATGGCACCTGGAGTTTGAGGCCGAGAACGGCATGGGCTTGATGGACCTCTTGCCAGTGCCCCAGCTCTCACCCTCAAAGGGCATGCCACTATGGAGGTCCAGGTGCAACTATGGTGCAATGTAAGTGCAACTATGGTGCAAGGATTGCAGCGAGTTCCTGTTATGCCAGCACAAAACCAGTGAATTGGGACCTGTCAGGTGGGGATTTCTGTTGGACGTGCCAGTGGATACTTCCCTGGCAAGCTGGAATGTGGGGCACCTTGCACAGGGCTCCATGAGCCATGAGCTTTCAACATTTTCAAAAGTTATAGAAGCTTGTATGGTTGGCTAGCCACTGGCAGGTTTTGGCTGGCTACTTCTGCAACGTTGTGCTGGCCTTGCTTCACCACTTCCCAAACAAGGTAGGCTCCTGTGGGGAAGATATGGGTGGGAATTGGTGATTAACCATCAAATTTGGGTGGTAGCCTATTGTCAGACAAACCCATGTCATTTTTTCAATGTAAAACGTGAGAGTTGAAGTCCGATGAGAGATGCGGCCCAGGTGGCAGGATACCTGCGTGACCGAGGGGACGCTGTATTCACAAGCTTCATCTTCTTAGGTACGAGGCAGGCAGTGCATTCTCCTGCAGAGCCAGCCTGGGCAGGCACTTTTTTTCATCCCCCCCCTGTGCTTCTGGTCAGGTGCATCGCAGAGCTTTTCGCTGTTTTGATTTGTTTGGCAGAGACCTTAGACTTTGACAGATTGGAGGTTAAACTGATGGCACGATATCTCGAACTGGTTGGTTTCCCCAAAGGGGGCAAGGGGGCCGGGCTTGAAGCCACCAACATCTACCAACCATACTTCTTCCATAGCCTCAAGCTGTGACTCCAGGACATAGAGGGGCCTCCGGTCTTCCCAGTGGATGGCTTGATGATCCGCTTGGTGCAACAGTTTTCAGGCCTGTGGCATTGGGGCCGTTGCGAGTGGAAATGCCAAATTTGGAAGAAAAATCCAGGGTCTGGTGTCATCTGGTGTGCAATGTGATCATATATCGCCGTATGAAAAACTTGCTGTTGGTTATTCTGCTTAGGTGTCCGTCCCGATGGGGATGATGCGGATGAACACTTGGCCCTTGTGATCAAGACGGTTCTGTCGCAGGAGCGGGAAAAACATCAAGCATTTAGCTTACCTCCCTCGGGCATTCCACAGAGAGATTCCAAAAGAGTTGGTGTCATTTTTGCATGGACAACCCATCCTCCCAATGGCCGGTTGCATGAGGTCACATGTCACGGGAAAAAAACCGAACTTCTTTGAGTTGTGCCCAAGTTTTTTGCAGCACAGGCCTGCAGCAATAGCATTACTTTTGCTTGTGCTGTAGTTGAGCAGATGTGGCGGCCTCAGAGGAGGCTCAGATCCTGGCAGAAATCAAAGTCCAACGAATCTATCCCTGTTGTGTTGAGCCATGTTGAACCTTATGATTTTGTGTACAATGAACATGTGTGAATGTACACTTAGATCATTTAGATGCATGGAAAGAGGTAACGCCGATTTGATGAATTGAAGCACGGACGCCACTGGGTCCCACGCCGTGGGATCGGAGCAGTCTGAGGTCATCGTTTGAAGTCCTTGGAACCTTGTTGGACAAGGCGAAGTGCTCCGTGTCTCACAGAAAAGGACTCCAAAGGTCTCATTAGCTCCCTGTCCCTTGATGTGGCTAGGCATTTGGCCAGGCTATGTCAAACCAAAACCACCGACACAACTCAATCAACTCATCACTTTATCATCCCACCCTTCTGAGGAAATCCTCATTTTGGGTTCCCAAGAGGGGGGATCTATCTTCGGGAGGATTGAATATTATGTCACAATGTCAAAATTATGTCCATTTATTTCAGGTCAATTTTGGTTGTCATCAAACTTCCCATGTTGGTTGATATGAATCCAAACTACCTCGAATGGACCACGCATTTCCCCATTTCCAATTAGCACCAACATTTCCCAATTCTCCAATTTTTTACCCAAATCTTGGTGTTAATAAACCCATGTTTTACCCATGATTACCATTGTCGGCGATTTTTGTTCACCCATGTTCACCCCAAGGCCTAAACCCCCCATCTCCGAATGTGCTCACCTTTCCAGGTGGTGGACATGAAATCTGCCGCCGCCGCTTCCGTGGTCTCCATGGCCGTGTCGCGCTTCTTCCACTTGACGTTGGGGACCTGGGAAACCTGGGAAACCTGGGGGAACTGAGGCGCCAGTTGGTGTACCCAGCAACTGCACCCAGCAAGTGTAGACACATGTACTGTTGATATACATGATATGTAAGCAGTTGGAACGAAAATGATTGATAAGTCCCATTGATTTCTTGTTTGGAGGGTTTTAGTGATAGAAGCTGTCAATATGAGAAGTTCCGTGTGCCCTTCATTCTTTGGAAGTGTTGCTTCAAAATGGCCACAAATTTGAATGAAAAGCAACGTGCCTTTACAGTGAAAATATTTAGTCCAGATCACTCTTGAGGCCAAATCCCCTGTTGCCTATGAGAGGGCCCAACTTGCTGAAACCTCTTGAGGAGGAGCAGTGGACATGTCGATCAACTAACCCGTTTCCTCAATAGACTTAAGTCAAGCTGGTCGTCACTGCTGGATTCTTTTCCCTTTCAAGGGTAAAGGCACAAAATGCAAAGTGTCGAGAACCTGCTATCAAGTCTGCCTTGCAAGGAGACGCCGCAAGAGATTCCTGAAGCGGAGTCATATTGCCTGAGACCCGGGAATCAAGCAGGTGGGTAGGGGCAGTGTTGGCGCAATAGATTTCAACATATTTCAACTGCTTTCACCCTCGTTATCGAATGAGGAATCCCTGCACTCCGTGTCCATACTGGGATGCTGCACAACCATCACGCCCTCAAAGTTTCAATTTTGATCAACCAACTTCTATTCCCTCTATATATGTCTATGTAATAGATAACCAACTTCTATTCCCTCTATGTCTAATAGATCTATTTCTTCAGATGTCTCACACACCGCATAGCATTCCCCACATCAAATTCCGCCCCGTTGGCAAATGAGGCTTGGGAATCCCCGAGGCGTCGAGTGCCTTGGTGCTGCCTGGCGAAGTCTTAATCCTCAACAAAGGTGGTTGGGAAAAGCCCATGAAAAATGGAGGTTTGAATGGGAAAATCCTCTATGGATGTTTGGGGGTGCCGGAGGGTACTACTGTAAATTCAATGATCATCAGCTAATCCATGTGCCAGAGGGGTACTGTAAATGATAATCAGCTAATCTATGTAGAGTCTAGATATATCACAGCTATATTCTGGATAAATTTGATGGCACAGAAAACCAGCCCATCGCGCCAGGTGCAGTGTTTGTCCAAAGAGCTGCCGCGGCTGTGTCGGGGGTCCATGGTGAGTTTCTGGATTGGATGTGCACAGAGAAGTACAGATGATATGATGTGCTTTTAAATTGACCTACACAGGGGAATTCTATAAATGATATATAATGATAGCAGATAATATGATTCATATTGATTATTATTGATTCATCATATATGTCGAGATGCTTCTTGATCAAGAAGAACAGAACGATTGTGACACTGCTCGTTAGATGTAGATGGTGTGATTCAAGATCCCAAGCTTTCATGCACCGTCCTTGATTTGAGGCTTATGAGGAAAGGGCCCGGGGTGCATGAGAAAAGCATGGATATATTGTATTTATAACTACATGATGATATGCATTCCACCGACAGTCTTCAATGCTGCAGGTCCAACATAATTTGACGACGAAGGAATCATGGACCATGCAAAAGATTTCAAGCCCAAGCTATTATATAGCACAGTTTCTTGGGAGCAAAATTTGTCCTTCGTCCCCCCTTTACTGTGCTGCACTTTTGTAGGGCCTTCAGGACAACATCATCCAGCCATATCAATCATCTTTTCCAAAGCTGGTGGGCCTAGACCTTGCCATGCTGGAGGACTTTCCATGGCGTTGGGCACTGAGCAGTGCGCGGTTTGCGGTCGCAGTGCCGTGGGCACGTGTCCCCTGTGCCGCAAGGTAGGCTACTGCAGTCGCAGCTGCCAGAAGCTGGACTGGTTGGAGGATCATGCCACCCTTTGTGATGCCCCGAAGCTGGCGCTGAATGGTCAGCAAGTGGAAGGACCGAAGGATCCAAAGGAAGAGAAGTCTCTGTCCCAAGAGGTGGAGCTTTGGCGGCTGGAAGTTGAGAGGTTGTGGGTGGAGCTGCGAGATGAGGAGAGCTTGGACCATTTGTCCGAGCTCCAGCCGCTTCTCACGGATGCAGAGCAACTGCGGAAGCAGGGACAGGTGTCTTGCTGGCTGGTGCCCAGATCCGAGTTGCAGCTGGGGCAGCAGGCCATTTTGGTCACCGCTCCCCATTCCATGGCGTTGCTGCGCGATGGCCAGGCCCCACATTTGAAAGAAGGCCACACGGCGGAGATCGCCTATGGCATCGCCAAGCACCTGGATTGCAGCTGCCTCACCTGGTCCTTCCCGGAACGGCGTCGCACTGAGCTGCTGTGGCGCCTGTCCAAGCGCATCAACGAGCAGCGGGGTGAAGAGGGGCAGCTGGGACAGCTGTTGGACCCCAGAAATCGAGATCCTAACTTCCTAGCCACTGGTGAGTTGCATCAGAACACCTGGTTTCAACAGATGACAAGGGCATTGGAACATATCCAGAGTCACGATCAGCTCAATCCTTGGACATCAACTTTCATTGAAGATATGGAAAGGAACCACGGAAATGGCAGGAAGCTGGAGACACTGCACATTGATGTGCATGGATGTCAGGATCCACCCACCACTCCATCTCACTTGACCATTGGCTTAGGTGCCATGTGTTTCCATGCAGTAGATCTGGGTAACACGGATGCCTTCAAAGATGCCGTGTTCTTCGGTGAAGCCTTGTACCAGGAATTCTACCGGGTCCTGACCAAAGCCCATGTGTCATACCGCCTGCGTCCGGCTGATGCCTTGCTGGTGCGGGTGGCCGCGCCGGGTCCTGGGGAGGATGAGTGTCCCAGGTTTTCAGGGGCTTGGAGGGGCACTGATCGACACACGCAGTCACAACAGGCCGTGACTTTTGTGGGATTTTCCCATTCAGTGCAGTTGGAGCTCTCGAAAGCCTTGAGAGCCCTGCTGGTGGCCGATCGCACCTTGCTGAAGGGCTTTGCGGGGGCATTGCATAGTGCATGGCTGCAATCCAAGGCAAGGAAGAGCAAGGTGGCATACAGAAATGGCAAGGATGGATTAACTGGAATAAATGGGATAAATGGGCTTTTCAATGGGGATGAAGCAGGCTCAACAAAAAGCGAGGATGAAGATGAGGAAGGCTTCTCTCGCTACTAGTAGCACTAGGACATCTCAGACTTACGCACAGCGCCAGAAAAAGAGGCCCAGCAGATGGTGAAGACTTTGTGATCATGATTTGTTGGGCACTGCTGATGGCCACATGCCCAGTCAATAATCATAGTCACAATCATGATCATAATCATGATCATGATCACAATCATGATCAAAATCATGATCATAATCAAGATCATCATCATGATCATAAGCACAATCATGATATTATCATTATATTAATATTCATGTTCGTGATTTCAGTCCAAGCATTTGATTCAATTTGCCGCCTTCCAAGGTGATGGCATTTTCGGTCCGCAACCACAGGCGCCCAGGCTCTCTGGGATGGCACCGCAGCGGCCTTACCTCAGGGTGCCTCCAGATACCTCGCCAGATCTTTCGTCATATCACTTGTTGCACTTCTCCATACCTTTAGAATCCTGTATGCCGTTACTGTATACCTTTCCATTCTGAAACATCAGTTCTTAAGATTACTGTACTTAGTATTAGTAGCTGCCACTCACACAAAGAAAATCAGAAAAGTATAGAAAAGTAATCTACCACTACAGCAGGATTCTACTTTCTATCTTCGTGGAGGCATTGAGATAGCCCTGGCCCTGAGGTCGGTGCCAGAACCAGAGCCCCTGCGCGAAGCCATCAAGATGCTGCTGGAGGTTTGACCTCAGAATTTTTGGGTGACAAAGTGACATGGATGGGTATATAAAGTATATAAAGAACACCAAGAATAAGTTATCACTTTAGGATGTTTGATGGGGATATCATTGGAACATATGACCAACAGTATGATATTGGGTTGGTCCTTCAATCATCTCAAACATGGGGAATTTGCCCGCAATATACGGGCATTCTGTGATGGGGACAATGAGGTTTTAAAGCAGAGGATAACACCAATATAATTCCGGTTCAAGTCGGAAAATTGGGGTTTGCCATCTAACCACTGATATATGATATGGGTGAATTGGGCCTTTAGTAGCTTTAAACCAGGCAATTTCGGGGCAGCCTATTTTCCGACAAACCCCACCGAAAAACCGAAAAACAACTGCAGGTGAAGGAGGGCGAACTCTTCAAGCAGGTGCCATAGACTCCGATAGACATGCAGTGCAGTCTATTTGGTTGCTCATATTATACAATATTTTGATGATTTTTGATGTACCATGTTACATTACATTTGTATGTGTACTCTATTTATTATGTCATGTGGTATTGTGTTGTATTACATAATTTGTTATTTTATTTATTATGTCCATATTTTTTATTTGCCAGTTGATTTGTCTATATTTTTTAACCAGTTGATTCAATGGCAGTTGATATTTTTACATCATATCCATGTGGCCCAGGAGACCTGGGATCTCTTCCATGCCCTGGCATCACCAGAGGTGGAGGACTAACCAGCTGGATACCAGCTAGCTGGGAAAGTCATTTGGAAATGGGTTTCCACAAAGCGGGGGTTCCGAAAATAGGGGTGCCCCAACAGCTGGATGGTTTAGAGAGAGAGAGAGAGAGTTGTTTGATATTTCCAAAGCAACAATCTCCAAACCCTCGAAAGCTAACCACCAAAACCCCTAAAACCTACACTCTCAAGCCCTACTGTAAATCTTGGTGGAGCGGTTGTTTTCACTCGCCCTCAGCTTAGCTGAACTCATCGAGAAGGCGATGGAAAGAGAAAGCCCTAAATCTTGCAAACATAGAATCAATATCACAGTATATACTATATACCTAGCGTTTTTGTTCGTAGTTGAAGATAAATGTATGATTTGCATACATACCATTGTTTTGGTCTAAGATTTGGGCATGGGCGAACCTCTGCTTTGGCGAGAACGTATTTTAAGCGAAGATGTTCAAGCCCATTTATTCCCAAAATTACATCATTTCACCATTTCTCCAATTGGGTTTTCACCCATTTTAATGAAGATTTTCCATGATTTTCCATGATTTTCCTATTTATCCAACCACCATTTGCCAGGCAAATCTTCATTTCCGTTGGTTCAAATCGATGGCTCCGCCAGGAGGTGCTCCGAGCCATGAAAGGCGTAAACCGCGAGGAGAACTCCTCCGAGGCTGGGAGGGTGTAGGGGTGACCCTGACCTTGGTCGTTTTGGACAGGGATGATTTTCCAAGATTTTCCAATTCCAAACCATCAACACATGATTAACACATGATATCAAATCATCCAAAAATTATTTTTTCCAAATTTTTCTCAGTGACTTTCCGTTTTTTTTCGCATCGGGTCTGGCGATCACCATCTGAATCTGGGAGGCATGGCTACGTGCTCAGATGCTGTCCCGGCTACGCAGTAGCAGGGCGGCAGCCGGCGAGCTCAGCGGGTCAAAGTCACGGTGTTTTCGTTTGGTGCCACCAAAAAAGATAGAAAGGGTGAAATCTACCACGGGTTTTAATGGGATTTTCATGGGGTTTCATGGGTTTTGATGGATTTTAATGAACCCCATTGGATGCACACGTATTGACTAGTATTGTGTTGGGATTTGAATGAATCTCACTTTCTGTGTTGTTTGGAGCTTCTACATGTAAGAGTTGCAGGGGACGCCTCGGCTTGCAACTAGTTGGTTGGTTGATGGTGTAACTGGGTCCTAGTTCATTGACGCGTGAGTTGTTTGAATTGAAGTCATTTGATTGTTGATGCTTTCATGGCTAGATGGAGTGATGGTGCATCTGCGGCAGCTTTTGCTCAAAGCAGCCCATGTTTGGCTGGAAGACCATAGTGAAAAGCTTGGTTTTACATGAGAGGTGTTCCAAAGAAAGTCTACTTCCTTCCAGAGGCTGATCCAACGTTGGCAGAGCCAACCGAAGCCAATCCATCTCTGGGATGACTGGAGGCACATCCTTCCCGCATCACATTTGCCTTCAGCTGTTCCCTACTTTCTATACTGACATGGGAGGAAGATGTGCGATGTAAGATGAACACCATACCAACAGCAGCCCCAGCCCAGTCACAGAAACGCTGCAGTCACGTTTTTTTTGGATGCCATGCCATGCTGCGGTATCTCCGCTTGGCTCTCTGCATCAATGCGTGGTAGCGGACAAGATGCGGAACCGCTCAAGGAGAGCCTGGCAGATCAGTTTCTGCGAGATGTTTGATGGTCTAAGTTGGTGCTCCCACTGTCGTGGAAGTGGGCGAAAGGAAAGATATACCATGATATACCTAGATTTTTGGGGCATATACTCTCCGACCATGTCTCTTTCCTGTTATTCTTTGATGCAAGGGCGAATCCGAGACTTGAAGCAAAACACAACTGATCCACAAGTGAGCATACAGCACCAGTATCAGACATCAGGGGCTGTGTGCAGTGTGTACCCGGGTACCCTCCATGTAGCTGCCACATGACTTGTGGGTCACGGTCAGTTTTGGCAGGAAGCAGTTGAAGAACCCATAGCTGTCAGTTGCACAACGCCATCCTTTCAGATGCCATTGGAGCGCCTTGGCTTTTCCACCCAGCCGCCGGGGCCCATGCCATAAGGGGCTATGCCAGCTAAGGTGGCACCCAGCCGTGGCCTTGAAGTTGCAGCAGCATGCTGCGCAGCAGGCGGCCAAAACTGCGCAGTGGGCAGAGGTGATTGGATATTCCACACCTTCCACCGTGGATGTGGGAGGCTTGAACCTCAGATGTTTGGCAGGTTCTGCTGTATTGAATCAAGCATCAACACAAATCAACTCCGAATCAGCTCATACCAGCCATCATTATCATCATTATCATCACTATCATCACTATCATCACTATCATCACTATCATCACTGTCATCACTGTCATCACTGTCATCACTATCATCACTGTCATCACCATCATCACCATCATCACCATCATCACCATCATCACTATCATCACTATCATCACTATCATCACTGTCACCACTGTCATCACTATCATCACTATCATCACTATCATCCTCATCGTCACCGTCATCGTCACCCTCATCGTCACCGTCATCGTCACCGTCATCGTCATCGTCGTCGTCGTCCTCCTCCTCCTCGTCCTCCTCCTCATCATCATCACCACCATCATCATCATCACCACCACCATCATCATCATCATCATCATCATCATCACCATCACCATCACCATCACCATCACCATCACCATCATCATCATCATCATCATCACGATCATAATCATCATCATCATCATCATCATCATCATCATCATCACCAGCATCATCGTCTTCTTCATCATCATCATCACCACCACCACCAACGATAGATACAGTACCAATGATAATATATATATATATTTATTATAGATAAGATCAGTAGATATATCTACCATCTACCTTAGATATTTTCCCCATCAGTTCCATCCCCAGGCGCCTCCCTTCGCTTGCGCCTAGACACCCCTGGTGTGCCTGGCATGGATCGCGCCGGGTCGCTGGCGCTGGGGATCCGACGTGGGGAGGGGGACGCGTGGCTGCCGGCCATTGCAGGTGACATGGCAGATGAGCCAGATGCTGGGGATACTTGGGATCTAGTGGAATATAGTGGGGATACCACCCATGACCAAACAATTTTGGGGCTACATGCGATTTTTTGGGGGTTTGTGCAAACATGGGGCACCGTTGTGAATTCTCATGAAAACAGCATTGGACACCGAGATGTCATCAGCTGGTTGGTGGTGACATGGTCAACCGCTCAGTGTTATTCATTGTTGTTTTGAGATTGGGGCAGTGACATGGAAGCAACCGATAATTCAAACCAGTCCAATGCACTGGGTTTGAAGAGGATGCTCGAATAGATGTAACTTGATGTAAATACATGCGTATGTATGTGCGTGTGAGAGTGTGTGCGCGCAGGTCCAGGTATGTGAAAAGTCAAACATATATGTATATATGTGTTCGCAAAAATTGGTTGCCCAAAGTAGCCACAAGAATCCAAGAATAATACTTTGAGATCCCCGTGGGAAAAAAAACCTAAGGAATGCCTGGGCATCACAAAGATCGTGAAGGCCATCCTCGTCATGGCCTTTTGGAGGTCATGGTGCGGGCCCTCAGTTCGAACCCATGACACCAACTTTGGCCTTTTCGCCCTATCCATAGCCATCCATAGCGGAGTTGGAAGGTCATCGCTCGTCCCACGGTGCGTGGGAACGTGACTTTTTTGCATGAGGAAGTGCTACGTCCCTGGGCTGCCAGGTGTGGTGGTGGAAAAATGTCATGCACAGATTCGCTATAGATAGTGACATACTGTTGGTGAGATGGTAACAGAAATGAAACGGGGTATTTTCAACAGAAGGCAACCGGTGATATGGGGTTGGCCTCTCGCAACAATTCCTTCCCCTAATATTAAACACGCCCCATAGCCCATGGTTTAGTATTATGGAGGGGTTACACCTATTTGGTACCGTTATTTAGGGGGCGTTTGATATCATACAGGGGAAGGGGTTGTCCTTGGCCGGTCAGCCCCATTTATGATTTGTCTACTGAGTGGTCGGAACATGTTGGAACCATCCTACACAAAATCCGTCCTTACCCAGGGTCAAGTGGGCATGAGCATTACCGCAATCGGGACAAGGATGATAAGGACGGTCAAAATCCAACGGTGAATAGCCTGAAACTTGCCTAGATCGGATAGGATCATATATATAGCAAAATCAGAGAATGAAGCTGATTGTTGAAAGTTTGGTTGCGCCCAGCTGGTTATATATATATATATTTAATTATATATAATTATATATATTTGGGGCTGGTAAGTACATCCAAAATGTGTTTTAGCCACGGAGCAGGCCAAAGCCTGATTGGTTACCCAGAAATGCTCCGCTGAGGTAAGTGGACACCCGTGAGCCAGCAGGCCATGGCGAGATGTCTTTTTCGCCGTGACCTCATTCATCGATGCATGGGAGATGGGAAGTCATGGGAAGTCATGGGAAGTCATGGGAATTAATGGGAATTAATGGGAATTAATGGCACTCGGAGCATCCATCAGTTGATATGGCCCTCGGAGGTGCAGCTGCTGCTGTTGTGGCGCCTGGGTGACTTCCACATCGACGACGGCAGCGGCCCCTGGCTGCGCGACCGCATTTTGATTACGGCCTCAGAGGCGGAGGACCAGGCGCTGCCGTTGCCGGAAGCGCCTGGCCGTCAGGGCTTGGATGGGCTGCTGCAGGGCAGCGGCCTAGTGGCGGTCAGAAAAGTGGAGGGCCCGCCGGCGGATGAATGGGAGCTGACCAGAAGGGGCCAGCTGCACAGAGAGGTTGGAAGCAAGTTGTGAAAAGAGAGTCCGTGCTTCTGGTGTAGGTTTGGGGGACGATTTGATGGATTTATTGAGGGGAGGGAAGCAGGACTTCAGAATCTTGCGAATCTTGCATCTTTCTGCAGTTTATTGTGGTTCGAGCTGACCTCGGTTGCCCTTGTCTCAGCCCCTGAGGCCAAACTTGAGGAGCACCAGATGCGCCAGAAGATGTAGCCACCTAAGTCCATCTTGGTTGCGGTTCCTTTGTTTCACCCCATCTGCTGCAGTTGGAAGCAACTGGACCTGAGGCAAAGAGTCCCATTTTCTGGAGAGCTGGCTGTGGAGGCTCTTGCGGGTCCGGACCATGTGCTTGGAGCCAACCCCAGGAACAAACATCTGTGGGCAAATCAAGTTTATTGGTTCCAAACATGCTATACATATTGATAATATTGATATCCCCAGTGCGAAATGGAAATAGGATGAGAGGTCGGGTCCAGCTGAATAGAGGCCACCTTCATCTTGGTGGAGCTGAACCGCACGCAAGACTCGGAGATTTTGCAGGCCCAGGGGCCGCTTGAGGAGGGCACTGGTACAGGATTGTTTTTATCACAAACAGATAGTCTAAGAGTCTAAGACTAAGAGTGTAAGGCTGTTTTGGCGGCTTTAGCGAAAAGCAATCTGGTTCGATCCTCCACATCGAGCAGAGAAGATACAAAATTGCCACGCCCTCCAAAACTGAAGTTCCTCCAAAAAAGTGAACTTGGAGGATGTTCCAGTTAGATTTGCCTGAAAAAAGGATACCTGCAAAATCCTTTTCTGATTATAGCAGCATTTTCCTCATTAACATTGCCACAATTGTTTTCGTTCAATGTGCAATTTCTGGATAAAAACCAAACTATCACTTTACATTAGTTCGTTAGTTAGATATCCAATCACATATCATTATTCTCATTACTATTCCCACTACCCGTCATGCCACGGTAGCTTTGTTGGTGAACTCAATGAAAGCGCCGCAGGTTTTCCTGCAGCAAGACCTCTTGACCCGATGCTTGCATCATATCTTGACACCTGGGCCGCCCGGGTCGGTGATGCTGAACACGGCCCGGAGGCCCAAGGCCCAAGGCCCAAGGAGGCCCTAGGAGGCCCAAGAAGGTCACGGACAACGTGGAAATTCCCATGGAAACCTGGGATATCGCTACAGAAACAAAGGTAGTGCCGTAAACCCATAAGAACCAGTAAGAAAGCATCCTCCCAATAGAAAAGGGGTTTCTGATTGGGAGATTCCACATTGGAGTCATTGGAGAGAGTCAAAGATCTTTCCAAAACCAAGCATTTGCGGAGGGTTTCCACAACGTTCTGCCTGGAGCTGGCATCATGCTCAGGTGTGTGCCCTGTGCTTGGAAGTGATTCGAGGTCCACAGAATGCTTCCATTCAGGCTGCCCGGGACAAGCTGCATTGGGCCCATTATTGTGCTGTGCTGTCGAAGGGCTTGCTCTGTAGTGCCAATCTGGGAGGCTCAAAGTTTTATATAAGAATTGTGAACTTGGTGAACCGTGGTGTTTCATCTAGTTGGGTCCGGTGGCTGGAAGAGTCAAGTGTGAGGCCGTATGCCGCTTTCTGGAGGAAGGCAGCGGTTTGCAGGGATTGGTGCGTCAAACGTTGCATTTGCAGCACCGGGGCATCACCAGTTTCGAATTCAAATGAATTCAACAAAATGGGGGTTTCCCGAAAAAGGTGTGCCCCAAATCATCGGTTTCTCCATCGAAAACACCATAAAACACCTATCATTTGGATGATTTTGGGGTCCCCATGATTTAGGAGACCCATGGAGACCCCCAGATGTGGAGTGAATGGTTGCTGGATTTGCTGGTGTATCGAGGCAATGCCATGGGCCGTTTGGCCAATGCCTTGTCGACCGCCACAGCGTTCAGAGAGGTGGCACTGGATGAGCCCAATGTCCAGTTGTCATTTTGGGTTGCTGCGCTTGTGTTAAGTTCGCCCAGTAACAGACCAGTAGAACGACATTATTTCTAAGGTCTTTATTTTCCCCGCATTTTTTGCACACAAGACGTATGCATTGCCGGCCTGACCATATGTCTTGCCATGTTTTGGCAGCCTGCCATCTTCCCTGCAACCTGCGAAAAGCCGCCGTCCAGGCCGCGGTGCAGAAGACCAATCGCAAGAAGGCTCAGAACTTCATCGAGGAACGATGGCTTTTAATTACGAGCTGAGTCAAATCTGCGGGATGAACGGGGCTTCAATCATATTTGTAATGATGCGAGGGTTGTTTCCAGCTTTTTCCCAACCATTTTGGGGCTTTTGGTGCCTTTTTCCACCACTTCCATATTGGATTTTGCTTGTCCCCGAGGTGATCAGGTGTATCCTCCGGAGCTCACGGGGCTGTTGCGGAAGATCTGCGTCCCCAAGCTCAGTTGGGGAGCAGCTAAATGATCCACAAATCCACAGGTTCATTGGGATCTAACCCCAAGAATAGATGGTTAGAAGGCCCTTAACAAATCTCCTATGATTGGGGGGGGTTCACCTTCCTATCTTCCAACCGCCACTTCAACTGAGGCAGAGCTGCGTGATGCTGCTGGCATGTCGCCTGAGGTGCGCTGGCTTGTGGTTTCTGTGATTGGTGACCCTTGGAAGTGACTCCGGCACTGCATCACAGGTGCAGGAACGCCTAGACTCCTTGCAGTGTTGGACAGAG